CTCCATAAGGCTGCATATCATGGAAGAGCCTCTGTGAGGAAACCTCTTCTCTCCTCTTGCAACATTCAAAAGAGGTTGAAGTGGTGCAGAGATCACAATGCCTGGTCTGCAGACCAATGGAAGTAAGTCATATTCTCAAACAAGTCCAGTTTCTCTCTTTTCCCAACTTCAGGGCGAGTTTGTGTGTGGAGGCAGCCCAAAGAAGCTTACAACCCTGACTGCCTTCTTCCAACAGTGAAGCCAGGAAGTGGATCAGTCATAGTTTGGGCCGCCATATCATGGAAATGTCTCTTTATTCCCTGATGGTGACTGTATCTTCCAAGATGATAATGCTCCAATACATACCACCCGAGTAGTTAAGAATTGGTATGAAGAGCATGAAAGTGAGCTAGAACACATGGAGTGGCCTCCCAAATCTCAAGATATCAATATTATTGAATATTTGTGATGCATTTTGGAGCAACAAGTTAGGAGCCGTTATCCTCCACCGTCATGTTGTAAAGAGCTGGAGAAGGTTTTAATGGAAAAATGACTGAAAATTCCTGGATGAAGTGAGGAAGCTGTATGATTCCATTCCTAGATGTATTAAAGCTGTCTGTGAGGCTAAAGGAGGACCAACTCCATATTAAATAAATTTTCTTTGAATTTAGCGTTTCAATTATTTTGTCCAACCTCTGTATTTTAGTTGCTGCACCTGTTGAAAGTCTTCATGATGTAGTTTCTGTTATTTAGTACAGTTCTTTGTGAGTCTAGTGCCAGCACACAAGGTTCAAAAAAGGATTGTCCTCAAGAATCATTTTCTGCAAAGCACTTGCAAAACTTTTCCAACCTCTCAGTGTTGCAATTTATGGGTTATAACAAAGCCACAGGAAACCACTTTATGGCACCATAAGAATATTGTCAAAATAAGGATATTATTTTTAAAGTTAAGGAAGAAATTACTGAAGAAGCTAACCTGGAAAAACAATAAAAACTTGCAAAATCTAGAAACTATATTCTGTTGTCTGATTAATGACTAGATTAAAGTTGTCGTTGTTTAAAAAACACATTTAAAGATTAAGGCTCAAGGTTGGTTGAACTTTGTGGTTTCTATCTTAAAATTTAATTAAAGGGAAAATTGATCACTCAAAGAGTGGAAAAAAAAAGTTTGATTTCTTTGTAGGATGAGGGGCAGTTTTAGTTCTGATAGAATGAATCAAATTAAACATCAATTAATTACTAAGACCTTTTGAGATGAAATATATAAAGCAATTGTTTCTGTACTTCTCTTGCTTGCGGCACTGTTTACTATGGGGTTGGCAATCCCCAGCCTCCATGCAACATCTGACTCATGAAAGATTTTTGTCTGGCCTACCAACTGAACCGTAGTAAAGAATTTGCATTTTTTGTTGATTGCATCAGTTGTTATCCTAGCAGTAAAACAAGGAAACTTGTTTAAATAATATAGCATTAACTTTGTTGTTGTTTTTTTAAACCTTCAGATGAAGGCAACCTCCTGAATGGAGTGATCTGAGACCAAGACAGTTTATTATAGTACATTTGATATCATAGCCCTTTTCTGAGATACTGTATAGCTCACTGGCATGCTCCCTCCAAATGGTTGCTGACTCTTGGTTTAGAACATATTAAAAATATTTTGGTGCACTTTGTGCATCAATCACATGCAGCCAACTGCTGGTCCATTACGGTGTAGACACTCAGCTCAAATCATCTACATGCACATGTTACCCAACCTGATCATACCATAAGTCAAGCCATTTCATCCATGTTTAGAATATTGCTGTCACAAATGGTCTGGTGTCACTGCTGTTTACCTTGAGCTCCTTGATAAGATCCAAAGAATCAGCAATATTATTGGTCTTGATCTGGCAGCTCAGTTACCCACCATCATAAGGTTGCCTCTTTGTGCCATTTTTTAAAAATAAATGCTTTCATGGGAATATATTCAGATGAGCTCTTATGGTACCTAGACTGTATGAATTTAAGTGCAGTGCTAGACTAGCATTGAGATCTCATCAATTTAATGTTAAGCTGGCTAGATGTATCTGTAAGTTCTATGCTAACAGTTTTTCTTGCACTTCTTGCTTGTGGTACTCTTCTGGCTACATACTTTCCAGACAACTTGATATTTCAATTTTTGCAGATTAATGTTATTTGCTGTCTACTGATTATTCTGTTCTCTCTCTCTGCTCATTAATGTTTCTGTTCTTAATACTTTCATACCCTGTAACTCCTGTTTTAGTGACTTTACTGCCTTGTTTGGGGTAATACCTATTTTAAAAAAAGTTAAGCTACACATCTTGATCACATGAAGTTAATACATTTTTTATGAAATTTATTATGAATTTCAGTTTGTATTTTTCACATCATGAAATATGATTTTGCTCTTTTGCAGCTCCTCCAAGGCACACTAATATGCCATGGTTTGGGAAACACTGTTGAGTAGTTGGCCTCATTTTTTGGTCTTTTTTAGTCTAAGATGAGGTCCATCAAATCAATTTTAACACTGTTTTTGTCTAGGACTTAGATAAACTTATGTGGGATGATTGATTGAATAGATCTCTGTAAAATAAAAATTCAATTACTATTGCCTGACGATGAAAATTAGTGATGAGAGAATGGTTTAAGTGTTCATTCACCCAAACCACATCACTTGAAGACTTTCATGGATATCACGTGTAAGTCGAAGAGAAAATAATGACGTAATCAAGATGTTAAAATATTTCACACTACTTCATCTAAAAGGTTTGGAAGGAAGCCCCCATCAATGCAGAATTTCTTAAAGATCATATAAATCTCAAGCAAAAGTACTAGCTGCTCAGTCAATGAATGCAAAATATTTCCTTGTAGGGAAATGGTTAATATTACCATTTGAGATGAGAACAGATACTACACTTTGATCGCTGCCTAATGGCCAGATCATGTGACCCAAACATACTATAATTTTCCTTACACCAAAACAACACATTCTTATGTACTATTCTTACTACAGTCCCTATAATACTACAATTTCTCTGTTAAGTCCTAACTAGTTTTCCTATAAACAGTTTGTTTGGGAGTAGGGAATGAAAATAACACCTTTTTAAAAATTTAATCCCAATGTATAATGTACTAAACAGCTATTTACAAAACTAAACAAAACTTTGTTAGTAGTAAAAGCCGTTCACTCCTAAATTGTGACAGAGATATCAGTTAGCTAGATGACAATGCAGAGGGACTAAATTAAGGGCCACTCACTCAACCACACCCTCATCAAGACACAGTAACAAATGCAAAAAAAATACACAAGAAATATAAAAAGTGTCATCTCTGTCACTTAATGGGGGACAGGATGGGCATTAAATAAAAAATAAAAAAAATGAGGCCAAACATGAAGATGGCTGATGAGCACTGGCAGCTTGGTCAATAAATACCAAATGTTTGCTTATAAGTAAATAGCTAATACTTCTATTACCATGAAAAACAAAAACCCAAACATTCACTAATTCCATCATCCTTTTCTTGTGTGCTGATAATTGCTACAATTACTATTAGCTTGCTGGATGCTTTAGAAGATACACTATCAATGTTTGTAATGATGGTAGTGAAATTTGGAGATAAAGATACGCCACTGATTATCATACACCCTTGGTATTGGAACTATGCCAGATTATCTATTTTGCCAGAGTAACAGAAATCATATAATAAAAACCTCTTTTGTATATTTAAAGCCTCATTGCCTTAAGGTAGGTTACTTTATTTACATTATTCGGACTATTGTCCTCATCTTTGTCACCATATTTATTACAATGTTTCGGCCGTTGTATGCTCTGGCCTTCTTCAGGTGTTTGGAATGTCGAACTGAACACTATTTCGCTCACTGGGGTAGACTGTTCTAGTTGCACGTGCCATGTTTAATGGATATCAGTTATCTCCTGTTAATTTTCCCTCTGAAAGTTCTCCACTGCCTTAGCCAGGTATTGAACTCACACTTTTTCTTTGGGTTCTGTCACTGGATCTAAGAAATTCATACACAGATGTCCTTACTGGTTACTGTCTGGTGTTGTATGAGTGTAAGCAAAGGTAAGAAGTAAAGTTCATAGGGTTATGCAGGAAAGATAATGGTTAATCCAAGACTTGAAGAGGATAAGATTGGGAAAAAGATGCCTGAGAGTAACTTACTCCTTACTAATGGAATACAAAAGGAATGAGGATGAATAAGCCTTATGTACATGGCTTGGTGGATCCCAGCTGCAAATGCCAAGGAATGTAGATGATCTGAGCACTTGCCTTGGAATTAATGATAGAGTAACAAGAGGCTTGTGATGTTTTTTCTGTTGGAAAGGGGGTTAGGAGTGGAAAATAATTCATTGTCAAGGCTACATAGACACTTTCAAACCCTAGTAAGATAAGCAAGTTCTTATAAAGATAGGGTATAGCAGGGGTAGTCTGATATGACTATTTTACCCGAATTTTTAGCAATAGATTATATGTTTCACTTGGAATCTGGGGAGAGCTCCAGTCCCAATAGATGTTAAAGGCAATGGGCTTTACTGAGAGAAGATCCATCGCTTATGATAAACGAAATTTCATGCTCTGTTCGGTGGTGGTGAAATGTTAGTATTTTAGTTATGGATATATTAAAGCCAGTTCTTCCTCCATTGCACTGTCAGGGTTAGGTCAGCTGCTAGTTTATGGCCATGCAGATTGTTAAATAATTAAGTGATTATGTGTCACTCTTAATACCACCTGGTGAATTAGTTTTGTAATGTAATGTAATTCAAATGTTTATTCATAAGTTTGTCTAGATTAAAAGGTGGCAGAAAATTAGAGGTACACCTGTAATTAAAATCTAATTAAGCATTCTCATTATTGAAGATGTAAGTTTTTTTTTCAATCTGTATAATAACATTTTTTTTTTTACAAAGGGTTTGTATTTAATATGTAAGTTGTAAGGTGCATTGTGATTTAAGTTAATTTATTTATTGATCTAATGTTTTCTCTTTTTGTTTAAATTTCAGAAAGTTCTTGTCAAGTGACGACAATGAATGTTATCAACTCCCATCTTTATATTGGCACCACACTAGGTGTCGTCATTATTGCTGAGGCTCTGACAATGGTTCCATTGGCAATGTTGAACTGCCACAAGTCTAGTGAGTTCTATATAAAATCAATCCTGCCTCTGCAGTGTGAGGCATGGCCCACTGATGTATGCACCCCAGCGTCAACAGCAGGAGTTCCCCGCAGTGCTCAGTCATCAAGAGACCAACGAGGCATTGTCACAATTGGCAGGGGATATGTGGACCCTTTCAGAGATCTTGTTGAGCGCCTGAAAAGATCCTACATTCCTCATTCAGGAACCCCTGTCAAAGTACCATTGAATCTGGACAGTCCTAGCAAACCTGAAGATTTGTACAAAAGACATGCTTTCTTACTAACATGGATTGCAGAAGACTGGCTGAACTACTGATCACAGATGTTAATGATATTGAGTCTTTAACTGGTATATAGATAATATGGTCCTTTTAAATAGACATTATAAAGCTGGACTTTATTTGAGCCTAGCTGTTTAATCTAAATTTTGGGTTATTTTTTGTTACCCTACCCACCAGTCTAAAAACAAATGTTTGAGGATTTTATAATTTTTATATCCTCTATGATGATGTTGATACCAAGCCTTTCCAATATGCTATTGCAACAATAAAGGGAGCTTGGAAATTTGAATTTTGATGGTCTGATTTGTGGGGTTGGGCTCCCCCTCTTGGGAAGAATGAGATGCTGAAATGAGACAAAACTAACAAAAAAAAAAAAAAAAAAAAATTGTCTGTGATGCTTACCCCCTCCCCGCATTTTTTTTTTTTTTTATTCATTGCAAGTAAGGGGTGAGATTTGTATATGTTGTTTTTAGTGGAAAAAAAAAATGTACTAAATTGATTTTTGAATGAAAGAGCTGAAGTTAACAAAGCTAAAATCCAGCAGAGGTTAAGAGAAACAAAAAAAAAAAAAAAAAAAAAAAAGACAAATGGTGAAAGGGTTTAAAAGAAAAGAACAGCCAAAAAAAAAAAAAATGACAAAAATAAATGAAAAACTGAAAGAACAGCTCCTGAAAAGAAAAGATGTAAATGACCAAAAAGGAAAAGAAAAAAAAAGCTCTTTTTATAATATGGAGGACCAAATGAAAAGGCCACCTTCTGCACAAAGAAAAACTAATAACATAAAATTAAAAAAAAATAATAGGCTTTTCAATCAGTGTCAAGTTTTATTTTTTATTGACTATCACAGCAGCAACTCAATTTTTCATCGTTCACTTCTTCATTCCAGAATTATACAATTTTTAATCATAGGGCTTCACTACAGAATCCTTTACTTGCCATGTTCACAAAGATCCTTTTAAAAAGAAAAGGAAACACAAAGATCCACTTGAAAAATATGCAAACAAAAATTATTTCTACTTTATTTACTTTTGAAAAAAAAAAATCTTTTTTATTCTCTTAATTTTTTAAAAAAGACAGTTAACTTAATATTGTTAACAACACCACTTTTTTTTGTTTACGAAATGTTCAACTACAGCCTGAATCTTTATGCATACATTAGCCATACAGAAATACAGATAAAAAAAAAATGACTTTGCTCCTCCTCCTCCTCCTCAAAAAAAAAATGAATTTGATTTTTAAAACACTTAAATAGAAATTTTGTATTGATGTAAGTAAATGTTAGATATCAGTGAAATGTTTTGCCATTCTTTGGCCGAGTTCAGATGCAAATTTAATTAATATTGCAATTACGATCAAGTCAATTGACTTTTGTAAACCAAAATATCTGTTAACATCTACAAACTATTGGTATTGTATTGTGCATATTGCACTGGTTCTATTCTGTTTACACTTGAGATATGTTGAAAATGTGATGCAACAAGAAAATAATAATTTAAGATCTTTAATGATTAATTAAAAAAAGTAAAATGTCTGTTGCTATGTCTATATGTCTTGCAATGTTTTTATTTTTAATTGAAATTATTTGCAGGTGATTTATAATAGCAGACATAAGACTGCACTATTCTGTAATTTAAGTAGAATAGTTTTTGTTTTTTTTAAGTCACGTTTTTTGCATTACCAAAAAAAGATTAGTGCATCTTATTGCAAAATTCCTGTTTGTTGATAAGTATGTGGATTCTGCTAGATTCCAACAATAGTTTTATAGTGTTAAAATAACTCTGAATATTATATCTATTGAGAAATTATTACTGGTTAACCTATATTCACACCATTTGGCTAAAAATTCTTCTTTAATGTCTGAAAATTTATAAGATCCTTTTAATAACATTCAGTGCCATTTATGATAACAACTTTCAATTTCTGGAGATATATTAAAAATTCAACTCCAACTGCTATTAATGAAGAGAAAGTCAAAAAAAAAAAAGTCCAAACTTGCATTGTTATTATTCTTGGTCTATACATGTGAATGGTGTTGACTTCTTGTACATCATCAAAAAATTGATTAAATAATTTGTATAGACCATACACATATATTAATTTCTTTATATAGTCTCTCTCTCTCTCTATATATATATATATATATTATAAAAAAAAAAAAAAAGAGGGATGCTGGCAATTTAACATTGTTTGTTCACTCAAGATCAGACATTATATATGTCAATATCTGATTCATCTTGTATTTTTTTTTCTATATTTTTTTCCATGTTTCCCCTCATTCTAGAATAACCTGTGCTGTGTATCCCTCAAATAAGTGACCTGAACCACTATTATGACAAAGTATACATGGGGCAGGCTACAGTGGTTGAACATTGAGAGCCAATATTTACAAGTTGGGTTTGAACACTAAAAGGGTTAAGGGACTAGTATGCTTTACACTTGTGTCCTGAATAAAAAAAAAAAAAAAAAAAACAGTTTATGACAGACGGTTGAAGATGGCCAAATATTGTGTTTAATAATGATTTGCAATGGAAATACATAATGAAAATGTGTTTAGAATCCTTTCTTGTTCAGGTTAAAACATCCCCCCCATATATATATATATATATATATATATATATATATATATATATATATATATATATATTATTGCCTTAAATAGAACTGATGGAACGCCTAACCCTTTATCAGAGAAAAGAATCATTGGTGCAACAATAATTTGGCAGGAACAGTGAAATATAATTTAAGTGAATAAATAAGAACCAAATTGATGCATGATTAACAAATTTTAATTTCATAAATTGAATTGATTTTCTAAACTTTGATTAATATGATTTTATATTTTAATTCTTTACTATTTAGATGTTTATGCTGGTTCTATTTAAAGCCATAATTTAATTTTGTCATATCAAGTCATTGTTTATATAGAGAGTACTTCATATTTCTCTCCTAATACCTAAATAAATGGATTACTCTACTACCCTAACAGTAGGTTATAAATATTCATATTTTACAATGGTCAGTTTCCAATAGTGCCTGATGATTGCCTCACATATGAAATTCAGAGTTCTACTAAAATATATATATATATATATATATATATATATATATAAAGAAGTGTTGAAACAGAATGATAAAAATTACTGAATAAAAGATCGGAACTTATCTACAAATCAAACTTTTACTGTTACTTAAAATTTTTGAAAACTAAAAGCTGATGTTTTGCAATTGCATATATATATATATATATAATGTACAAGGCAGAAAATGTAATATATTTAGAAAACAACATATACAAACAAATTAGATACCTCTGCCTAAAAAAAAAAAAAAAATAATTTCTATCACTGAGCTTAAAATTTGCAATTGTAATTAGAAAAGACACCCTAACCAAAAAAAAAAAAAACACACAGATGTATTCATAGCTGCCGTATATGCATATATGGTTGTATCAATAAGTCTATAGCCTAACATATGGATATTACCTATATTCTGATCTCAAATTTTGGCTGTGTAATGTCCAATAAATGATAAATATCTACTTTTGAATTAAGTGCATTGACAAGGAGAATATATTGAAAAATACTATGTAAAAATAAATGTGTTTTTTTTTTTTAATTTTTTATTGATGGATGCATGTATACGAGAAAGATTTTACTTACAACACCCTTGGTTCCAGAATGGTGCTGGATTATAAGGTTTGCTAGAACAACAGATTTCATGTAATAATATTTTATTCATAGTTTTTCTTTAGGTTAAACAATGTAAAATATGTAAACGTATTGATCGAGATAATTGTTTGTTAAATTCAGAAAAAGATCCAGGAAAGAATTCTTGTATTCACTGAATAGTGATTCACTGAATTTCATTCTATATTTTTTCTGTGACAGTGAAATGGATGTTCATATATACAGATTTATTTTGAAGCCCAATTTCCTGACTTAATAAATCCTAGCAGTATAACCTGTCTTCGACCAGGTGTTTCAGTACTGGGAATTTTTGCTGTTCAATTGGAGCAGTTTAAAGTGAACCCACCCAAAAATCAATATTGTAACACTTGGGTGCAAGTGAGGTATATCCCCAAATGGGTGGGAGGGTAACAATTTTTTTTTTTTTTTTTTTGTGTTTTCAATCTTGCAATGAAGGCCCTCTTCCATGGACCATATATGATAATTTTTATTTATAATAGTTTTTTTTTTATAATTCTAATAATCTTTTGTGTTAGATTTTTTTTTTTTTTTTTTTACAGACATTAAATTTTGTCTTTGATTTTTATGCAAAGTGTAAAAAATCAGTTTTTTCAATTTTCCACCTTCAAGATTGTAATTTTTTCCAGCCAATTTGGTCTCAAAACTGGCACTGAAGAATTATCTATCAAACAAAAAAAAATTTCATCAAAATCAGATGAAAACTGGAAATGTGTAAACAACATCCAATCACACACACATTTTGAGAATTATAGATATAAGATAGTTGTTAATTTTGAAGAATATACTTCTTTTCCAAAGACACACAACATGCTAAGTGACTAAATTTGGTCATTTACATTTTTACTTTAATTTTGAAACCAAAAATACAAGGCGGTATTTAAAAATTTCCTACACTGTGCTGGAATTTTACTATTTAACAGATGTACTTGCATTCAATAATATTCAGCCTACTATGTTCAATTACTGTGTAAGTTTTTAGAATTGTCTGTTCATTCTACGGTCGGTTATGTGTCTGTTGAAGATGTTTGTTCAGTGTAACCAGAAAATGAATTTTGAAATCATAGATAAGGTTTGAAAACCATGAAATACAAATGAATTTCTAGTAATATTTAGTGTTTTTGAAGTGTGGAAGAGGTGCCGAAATGACTGATTGTTATTTTTTTTTTATGGCTTATCAAGCTTTTACAGGTTATTTAAAGCCAGATAATATTTTTAGATTGTTAGAATTTTTTGGAGATAATGATTTATTGATACAAGTCATACTAACTAACCCATAGCTGTTGTAAAATAGGGTAAGGGTGTGTTGAGGTTAGGGGAAGACACATAAC